GGGATTACAGGCATGCGCCACCATGCCCAGCTGATTTTTTGTATTTTTAGTAGAGACGGGGTTTCACCATGTTGACCAGGATGGTCTCGATCTGTTGACCTCGTGATCCACCCGCCTCGGCCTCCCAAAGTGCTGGGATTACAGGCGTGAGCCACTGCGCCCAGCCCATACTTTTAATCTGTTTATATTTAAAGTGAATTTCTTGGTTTTTTTGTTTTTTGTTTTTCTGGAGATGGAGTCTTGCTCTGTCGCCCAAGCTGGAGTGCAGTGGTGTGATCTTGGCTCACTGCTACTCCACCTCCTGGGTTCAAGTGATTATCCTGCCTCAGCCTTCTGAGTTGCTGGGATTACAGGTGCATGCCACCATGCCTAGCTAATTTTTTGTATTTTAGTAGAGACAGGGTTTTACCATGTTGGCCAGGCTGGTCTTGAACTCTTGACCTTGTGATCTGCCCGCATCGGCCTCCTGAAGCGTTGGAATTACAGGCATGAGCCACTGTACCCAACCATGAATTTCTTAAAACAGCATGCGGTTGGGTGGGTGTTGCTTTTATATCTTATGTGAAAACTTTTTTTTTTTTTTCTTGAGATGGAGTTTCACTGTATTGCCCAGGCTGGAGAGCAGTGGCACAATCTTGGCTCATTGCAACTTCTGCCTCCCAGGTTCAAGCAATTTCCAGCTAATTTTTGTACTTTTAGTAGAGACAGTGTTTCACTATGTTGGCCAGGCTGCTGATCTTGAACTCCTGACCTCAAGTGATCTGTCGCCTAGACCTCGTGCTAGGATTACAGGCATTAGCCACCAAGCCCATCCTTACTTCATTTTAATTGTGATACTTCAACCGCTTATATTTAATATAATTTTTTAATGTTTGGATTCACATTTATTATTTTGCTAAAGTGTTTCCTCTTTCCTCATTTGGTCTTTTTCAATTTTTCCTCTTCTTTTTCTCTCTTTTGGATTGGTAATTTTTATTTTGTTTTTTCTCCACTGAATTATTAGTAATACAGGTTGAACATCCCTAAGTTGAAAATCTGATATTTGAAATGCTCGAAAACCCAGAAGTTTTTGAGTGCCAACATGACACCACAAGTGGAAAGTTCCACATCTTACGTGATGGGGCACAAAGTGTAGGGGCACAACACATAGTTTATTCAGTGTCCCTAAGGGAAAAAGGACTCTCCCAACTTCTTTTAGCTGACATGTGTCTTTCTATGCATGCATAGTATCTTAGACTGTTATCACATTGCTGTAAAGAACTACGTGAGACTGGGTAGTTTATAAAGAAAAGAGGTTTAATTGGCTCACAGTTCTGCTGGCTATACAGGAAGCAGTAAATTAAAGAACCACCTTAAGGGCTTATCTATTGATAGATGTTACCTCAAACCTGCATCAAGATGGCAATGCTCATGGCAGAGCTGAGTAGAATGAAATACTGGTAAAAATATTTTTCCATAAAGTATTCAGAAGTTATAACCTGTAAGTACAAAATATACCTTCTTGAGATACAAGTAATCACTAAATTATCATATTAGGTGTTCATAAATGCTAAACATCAGACAGGTCAGAACGTCACAACAAGACACGATTAAGAAGCTGAACATTAGCCGGGTGTGGTGGCTCATGCTTGTAATCCTAGCACTTTGGGAGGCTGAGGCAGGCAAATTGCTTGAGCCCAGGAGTTCAAGACCAGCCTAGGCAAGATGGGGAGACCCCATCTCTTGAAAAAAAAAAGGAAAATTAGCCTGATGTGGTGTTACGTGCCTGTAGTCCCAGCTACTTGTGAGGCTGAGTGGAAGAATTGCTTGAGCCTGGGAAGCAGAAGTTGTAGTGAGCCAAGAAGATGTCACTGCACTCTAGCCTGGGTGACAGAGCAAGACCCTGCTGCGACACACACACAAAAAGAGGCTGAACATGAATGAAAGTGTCTTTATTAGGAAGGGGAAGATGCTGGCAGGGTTTAGATTGTAGCAGCATATGACAATTATATGCAGTACAGGCAATAGTAATGTAGCTGATGGAACTGGGTATTGTAAGTTTTTTGTTATTGGGTTACGTTAGCCAAATATAGCTTACCAATGGTATCTTATGGGATAGTAAGCAAATTATAAAATGATATAGGGAAAACTGGCCATTGATTTGGGAGAATATAAAGGAATACTGTAGGGAGGAATCAGTGAACAATTCAATTTAATTTAGACAATGTTTATTTCATATATTTACTGCTACATTCCATCAAGAAATTTTTCGTTTTGATGTTATGACAATTAAGCAAGTAAAAAACACATTTCTTTGAAAAAATACTTCTAAGCTCAGGCTTTTAACATATAAATATAATGCACAAAATAAATATACTGCAAAAAAACCACCCACCTACAAATTGCTGTATGCATCATTTTGAAACACGTAATGTTTATAAAAGCGTAACTCTGCATTCTTGCATTTTCAGCTCTAAGTAACAGAAAACCTTACTTTGCAAAGTGCTAGATCTTAGGCTCAAAGAGCATTTGGTGTCTGCCACAACTACTCAGCCCTGCTGGGGTAGTGTGAAGACAGCCACAGGCCAAACATAAACAGATGTTTTTTGTTTGTATTTGTGTTTTCAAAACTTTATGGACACTGAAATTTGAATATCATATAATTTTCATGTGTCCCAATATTCTTTGTTTTTTTTAAACCGTTTAGAAATATAAAACCATTCTTAGCTTGCAGGATACAAAAAAGGGTAGTGGGCCACATCTGTCCAATGGACTGTCATTTATCAAACCCTGACTTAGCATAATCAGGATCTGCTCTTGCCCCTAAATCACTTGTAGGAAAAGAAACAAACAACAAACAACCAAATCAAGGCACTGGCAGCAAGAAGGTGGAGGATGAATGTTGAGTAGCCAACCTTTTTTTTTTCCTTGCAGCGTAATTCACAAAATACAAATAATGAAGATAACCTCTAACATACAGCTGTTGTGTCTAAGACACTATTGTAAGTGCTTTGAAAATGTTAACTCATTTAGACCTCAAAGCAATCCTAAGATGTTGTCACTATCACTACTCTTTTTGGAAAGGGAACTGAGGCACAGAGACATTAAGTAGCAGGCTCCATGCTGGAATCTGGGCCCAGGCAGCAGGAGTCCAGAGTCCACACCCTTAACTATCCCACTTTGCTTTTACGAGGAAGAAAAAGTTAGTGAAGGACATTTAGGATTCTCAGACAAAATACGGATAGCTCTGCTTCCTGCTTACACATCAACAGTAAGATATATAATATTTCTTACATTGCACTATTTGTTTTCATTGTGTAGACTGTAATAAATATTACTGTTTTTAGCTGTTTAAAAACAGCTCAGGCTTTTGCTATATATATAAATAAATGTGTCCCTAATGGAAAATTTGGCTGACAGTTGAAAATTTTACAAAAACAAGTACCACTGTCTATAGCCGTTTACAAACACCAAGAAATAGGAGAAAAAGATGTCTTATAATTTAAAAGGAATATTACACTTACAATACAAATACAATAAGAGTCACTACTGAGACTTAGTATGTGACATCTTCATACACATAATAGTTACTGAACTAAGATTACATATTTCCCTATGTACAATTATGGATGGGTTCCACACGCACGTTGAACATCCACAAGTTACATGTTATAGCACACTCACATACACACAAAGTCCTCACATATACTAAAAGAGATTTAATGTATGTTTAATGATGTTGACTAATAATTTGTGCTTTTTAAAAGCTTCATATATGTAGACATTTGCATGTTTCCTTTTAAATCTTGGCATCAGATCTGCAACATGATTTCTAGTATAACTGTTTCCCTCAGTACAAATTTGAATTTTTGTTGAAAACCTTCAAATATTTAAAATATCTATCCAAGTACCAGTAATCTGACATTGAATGAAACATCAATTCTTGATAAAGGCTTTTTATATCTGCTACCATCTATGCAGTTATCCCTTTGAATTCTCTAATATATGAGCTCCAATTGTGTAAAGAAGTTTCTAGGTACTCAAGGAGCTTCTCACTTGTGAGCTTTTAGATGTCTACAGCTGGCTGCCCTGGCAGAAAATGTCTTGACATTTGTTTTACAGGATTTATCTCCTGTGTGATTTCTGTGTTACAAAACAAAAGTATGACTTCTGAAAGGTTTCCTTTCTATTTTACAATTTGAATGGCTTCTGCTATCTATGTAATCTAATATTTAGAAAAACCCACCATATAAAATTTTTTCCTAAATAAACATATAGAATTTCTTTCTATATATTTGCTGATATACAGAGAGAGGAAAGATTGTAGCTAAAAATTGTCCTATGCTGATGCCATTCATAAGGTGTACCTCTTGTGTGAAATATCTGATTGTTCTGAAAGATGAATTCAGTCAGAATTTCCCAACTCATCTTACTTCTCGGCCTTCCCCTTCTTTGTGTGTGTCTTCTGATGTGCAGTGAGTTGTGACTTCTGGATAAAGGTTTCCCCACACGCCTGACACTCATAGGGCTTCTCCCCTGTGTGTTTTCTCTGATGTATAATAAAATGTGACTTCTGAGAAAAGGACTTCCCACATTCCTTGCATTCATAGGGCTTCTCTCCTGTGTGAGTCCTTTGATGTAATCTGAGGACTGAATTCACAGAGAAAGATTTGCCACATTCTGTGCATTCATAGGGTTTCTCCCCTGTGTGTTTTCTCTGATGTTTAGTGAGGTCTGATTTATAGTAAAAGGTTTTCCCACATTTATTACATTCAAAGGGTTTCTCCCCTGTGTGAGTTCGCTGATGTACTGTGAGGGCTGACTTCTGGAAGAAGCATTTCCTACATTCCTTACATTCATAGGGTTTCTCTCCTGTGTGAGTTCTCTGATGTGTTTTGAGGTGTGAATTCCTAGAGAATAATTTCCCACATTCCTGACATTTATAGGGTTTCTCCCCTGTATGTGTTCTCTGATGTACTGTGAGGTGTGACTTCTGGGAAAAGGCTTTCCCACACTCCTTACACTCATAGGGTTTCTCCCCTGTGTGTGTTTTCTGATGTACCATGAGATATGCCTTCACATAGAAGAACTTACCACATTCAGTACATTCAAAAGGTTTCTCTCCTGTGTGTGTTTTCTGATGTTCTATAAGATGTGGTTTCTGGTAGAAGGTTTTCTCACACTGATTACATTCATAGGGTTTCTCTCCCGCATGGGTTCTCAGATGTCTACTGAGAGATGATAGGTGGTAAAATATTTTCTTACATTCTTTACACTCATAGGTTTTCTCTCTCGTGTGAACTTTCTGATGTCTTGTGAGGTCTTCATTTTTAGAGAAAGATTTCTCACATTTATCACAGTCATATGATTTGCCCTTTGAATGAGTATACTGATGTACTATGAGGCCAGACTTCTGGCAGAAGAACTTCCCACATTCCTTACATTCGTAGGCTTTCTCTGTGGCGCAAGTTTTCTGGTGTTTTTTGAGTTCTCCATTCCTAGACAGAAAGTGCCACATTCATTAATGTGTAAAGCTTTTAAGGTTTGTCCCCCCTGCCACTGGGTGTATCTTCCAAGTATATTTGAAGACTGATTTCTAGAAATGTTCCCATATTTATTAGATCCATAGGGTTTATCCACTGTAAGCATTCTCTGACCTACACTGAAGTTTAAACATTTGATAAGGTGAACCTGTATTTGCATACTATTCACAGGGTCTCTCAATTGCGTGCATTCTATTTTGTATAATAAAGCCTCCCTTTATTATTTAATTCAGAAGAGTCAAAAGACTACTTCAAAGTTTCAATTTCCTGATCCTACATGAGAAAAAGGACATTCCCGTTTCGGTGATATTTCTCTGGATTTGCTTTGCAGTGTTAGTTTTCTCATGTTTAGTATTAACTAGTGCCCTCCCATTTCTAGTAACCCCTTCAAGACTCTTGCTTACAAATCTTCTATCTTAAACATTAATTCTTGAACTTGCCTTGAATTTCCAGCTTGGCTTTCCTGGTATCTTGCTTCTAGGTCATGAGTATTCCGTAGGTCTTCTACGAGAGAATCAAAAATTTAATACTTTGTGAATACTAACACATTTATATTGTCACAGGGCTGATTCTTAGGCCTCAGGCCAATCTTTCGTAATGAAAGAACTCTCAAATGCAAATTTCCTCTAGCCCATTGTTTTTTGGGGGGGAAAAAAAACTAAAACACTAAAAACTGCTGTAGCACACAGAAGAAGGAGCTTAGTTGTGAGCCCAGGTACTCTGACATTTTTACAAACATGACCTTAAGAACTTGGAGGAGAAAGTTAAAACAAAAAACAAAGAATCAGGAGTAGAGAAAACAGGACATCTGAAGTTTTGCTGAATGGGAGTGTGGGCCCCTTAAGGACCATGAACATTAAGCAGGATTAAGAAAAACTACTGGAAAACAGCATGCCCTGGAATTACATGGAAAAGAGTAAACTGGATGAAGGAGCTGAAGTGTAGGTCTTTATTCCCTCAAACCTAGATTACTGTGCCAGGATTCCTAGTAGTTAGCAGACAGACTTCCACTTTATTTCCTCTTCATCTATCCACAACAATCTAGGTGTCAATACTAAAATGACTTTCTCAGAACATCTGTAACCTTAGGCTTAGAGGAAGAGTCCTGTAGCTTGAGCTTTCACTCTCCATCTAGTTGGCTTTATTTTCAAGACAGAAAGACTGAGGACCACATATATCCAAAAGGAAGGATTTTCTTAAAAGCAGCATGGTAAGCCATCTATACAAGGATGAATTCCTAGTTGTACCAGTGGAGATTTTCAATCCTGAACTTATCCTGACCACCAAATCCTAAACTTCTAGAGCACTTATTACTCATGACTCAACACTAATCTTGAATTTCATTTTCATATCTTTCTTCCTCCATCTTTGCTTCCAATTTACTACAGGATCTTTAAAGTTTCAATTATTGAACATCATTCTAGAATCTTTAGTGACCTTCATATTTATCCATCTTTAAGAGCATAAAGCAAGTGAAAGATTACTAGCATAGGCTTGGGTTGGAATTTCATGGCAATGGTGGGAATACATAAGAAAAGTTACAGGCCAGGCATGGCAGCTCATACCTGTAATTCCAGCACTATGGGAGGCCACCGTAGGCGGATCATGAGGTCAGACCAGCCTGGCCAACCTGGTGAAACCCCGTCTCTACTAAAAATACAAAAATTAGGTGGGCACGGTGCCGGGCACCTGTAATACCAGCTACTCAGGAGGCTGAGGCAAGAGAATTGCTTGAACCCGGGAGGCAGAGGTTGCATTGAGCTGAGGTCACAACAGTGCACCCCAGCCTTGACAACAGAGCGAGATTCCACCTCAAAATAAATAAATAAAGTCACTTGATAGGGACTTGTGCAACGTTATCTCAGATACACATGAAATAAGATCGTAGGTATGGGCCGGGCACAGTGGCTCATGCCGATAATCCCAGCACTGAGGGGCTGAGGCATGTGGATCACCTGATGTCAGGATTTTGAGACCAGCCTGACCAACATATGGAGAAACCTTGTCTCTACTAAATAGAAAAATTAGCTGGGCATGGTGGCGGGAACCTGTAATCCCAGCTACTCAGGAAGCTGAGACAGAAGAAATCGCTTGAACTGGGGAGGAAGAGGTTGCAGTGAGCCGAGATTGTGCTACTGCACTCCAGCCTGGGCAACAGAGTGAGATTCCATCTGAAAAAAAGATCTTATGTATGGAAAACTTTTTTTTTTTTTTTTTTTTGAGACAGAGTTTTGCTCTTGTTGCCCAGGTTGAAGTGCACTGGCGCGATCTTGGCTCACTGCAACCTCTGCCTCCCAGGTTCTAGCGATTCTCCTGCTTCAGCCTCCCTAGTTAGTAGCTGCGATTACAGACGCCTGCCACCACGCCCCGCTAATTTTTTATATTTTTAGTAGAGACAGGGTTTCAGTATGTTGGCCAGGCTGGACTCGAACTCCAGACCTCAGGCGATCCACGCGCCTCAGCCTCCCAAAGTGCTGGGATTACAGGCGTGAGCCACCACACCTGGCTGGAAAACATTTAAAAGCTTAGTAAAATGGAGATTAACATGTTTTGGGGCCACAAGGAGAAATAAGTTACATAGGCAAGAGAGGGCCAGACTAGTTCTTGACAGAAAATTCATTTAATGTGTATTGTAATACTGAGTCAGTATTAAGTATACCATCAGGCTTGTGGTGATGTACATCTGCTGCATTATACAACTACTATGGGAATTTAAATCAACATTTTTTGTTTTGACCCTAACAAGGAAGGAAGTAGAATAAGCGGAACTATCTTATAAGAAGGTAAAATATGCGATGAGAATATATATAGGGCAAAGATGCTGGAGAGGTCAATTTTAGGAGTTATCATAAAAACCAATACATTGGCCTTAAAAATGGAGGAGCTCTTATAGGCGTTACAAAAAGGGCACAGAGCAGAAAGTAGGGAGTGTCTATCTGTTGTTAATTAATTTTTTTTTATTTCTTTTTTTCACAAACATGAGTCTCACTGTTTCCCAGGCTGCATTGCAGTGGGGCAATCTTGGCTTACTGTAACCTCTGCTTCCTGGGTTCAAGCGATTCTCATGGCTGAGCCTCTCAAGTAGCTGGGACTATAGGTGTACGCCACCATGCCTGGCTAATTTGTGTATTTTTAGTAGAGACATAGTTTCATCATGTTGGCTAGGCTGGTTTCGAACTCATGGCCTCAACTGATCCAACCACTTTGGCCTCCTAAAGTGCCGGGATTACAGGGGTGAGCCACCACATCCGGCCAATCTCTTGTTAATTAATATTCAACAAATATCTAGTGAGCAACTAATATGTAATATGTATTGATCCTGATACTCCCAACACGTCTGTGCACAAGTTAGAAAATACATGAGAAACATTTAAGGAGGCAATATGAGATTGTCTTAGTGTTATTCAAATAAGGTGCAGTAGATTTTAGGGAGGATAAACAGTGCTTTGTGGGAAGGATAAACACTATATTAGCAGGAAGTAGCAACTCTGAAATGAAAGAATTGATGAGTGGCATAACAATTTATAATCTGAGTTCAGAGTTTAAAGAAAAAATGGGAAGTGAAAATTGGTGCCAAAATAACTGAGGTATTTTGTTAATAAAAGGAGGAATATATCATTTTTAAAAGTTATAATTCAGATTTACAAACACTTTATAGTTGCATACTCTAATGACAGGGAGTAACTGGTGATTCTAGAGAAAAAGACAAAAATCTTACAAGTGTAAGGAGGGATTAGAGTTTGTATACAGGAAGGAGAAGTAAATCTATTTAAAACACATCTAGCAGAGAGAATTTAAGTAGAGAGAACAAAAATTGGAGGTATGACTTAGGTTTTCTACATGTGCAGATCAAGTGTTCTTAATCGCTTCCAAAACTATAGGACATTTATAAAGAGATTGCTGAAGCTGGGTGCGGTGGCACACGCTTGTAATCGCAGCACTTTGGGAGGCCAAGGTAGGAGGATCACCTGAGGTTGGGAGTTCGAGACCAGCCTGACCAATGTGGAGAAACCCCACGTCTACTGAAAATACAAAATTAGCCAGGTGTGGTGGTACATGCCTTTTAATCTCAACTACTCAGGCGGCTGAAACAGGAGAATAATTAGAACCTGGGAGGTGGAGGTTATGGTGAACTGAGATCACGTCATTGCACTCCAGCCTGGGCAACAAGAGCAAAACTCTGTCTCAAAAAACAACAACAACAACAACAACAACAACAAACAAACAAACACATTGCTGAAAAATATTTCAGAAGGCAAGAGGCACCTCAACAGTAATAAGTGATATGATTTCTTCTAACTCACCAGGGAGGCCCCGATGTGGATATTCTACTTCTAACATCCATGGCTCTTTTCCTTGCTTCAACTTGAAGACTACATTTGGCTTATTCACACGGTAACCTATGAATGGAAAACATCAAGGAAATGATACAAATTGCTTGGAATTTAGGGACTGTGAAAGCTAAGGAAGTGCAGTTTCAGGAGAATGATGAAGGTTCCAGTTAGACTTGGCAAATTTAGATTCTTTCAGTGGGGCAGGAGGGACATAATTTTTTTTTCAAGTGCCCAAAGTGGATTTATTAACTTGGACCTCTGAATCACAGCTAATGTCAATCATTCAACCCTATAGGGACCTCTTATATTCCAGCAACTGAAAAAGGAGATGCAGACTACTGGGAGTTACACCTGGGGAAGTTTCCTCACCCACTGAGACCAAGTGACTATAGTTTTCCAGCATCACATCCTTGTACAGGGTCCTCTGAACAGGGGTCAGTAATTTCCATTCCTCCTTGGTGAATTCCACAATAACATCCTTTAATGTCACAGGTCCCTGGAATAACATATTTCAGTTTAATCTGAAGTAACCAGAATAGATAACAGTACCATTGAAAAGACACATGTGAGCTAGCTCTTAGTGTACTAATTGAAAAGTTCACTCTGGAGAGTTAGGATATGTGCCATGCTGTACCCTGCTTTATTTGTAGAGGAAATATTTGTTCAGTACATATTTGCTGAGCTCCCACTCCATGCCTGGAACTCTGCTGAAGATACAAAGATGAAGAAAAAAATGAGTGTCATGTGCCGTATAATGACATTTCAGTTGACAGATTACATATATGATGACAATCCTACAAGAAGATACTGTATTTTTATTGTCTGTTTTCTATGTTTAGATTCACAGATTCTTATTGCATTACAAATTGCCTACAGTGTTCAGTACGGTAACATACTATATAGGTTTGTAGCCTAGGAGCAATGGGCTATACCACATAGCCTAGGTGTGCACCATCTGGGCTGGTATAAGGACACTATGTTTGCATGAAAAAGTCACCTAATGATACCTTTCTCAGAACATATTCCCATCACTAGGTTTCACATGACTGTATTTTGTTATCAAGGAGCATAGGTTTTGCTGGGGAGACAAAGGTGAAAATGCTAAAATACAGTATGTGAAGCAAGTGCCATGATAGAAACATGTACACAATACAAGATAGTCACAAATGGGGGTAGTTATTTGCATTTCGTATTGTCATGTTAGATTTTATTAGGTGGTAAAACTACCTAACGTAAACTTTAGAATAAAGAAAACACAAGTGGCAAAGACATGAATGCATGAGAAATTGCAAGTTTAGGAAACCTTGCAATTTATGATATGAGAATAGAGCATAGGACCAAGATTAGTTAGAAGGTTACAATGTAAAGTCAAGGGACAGGACATGAAGAACTTCTGACCAGTAAAATATATTTTGCATACACATTTAATAAATAAATTTTTGCTTATTAATACATTACATACATTTGCATCTATTAATGTTTATTAAGAATTAAGGGGGCGGGTGTGGTGGCTCACGCCTGTAACACCAGCTATTTGAGAGGATGATATGGGAGAATCACATGAACCTGGGAGGTCAAGGCTGCAGTGAAACAGAGCAAGACTCTATCTAAAAAAAAAGAAATTAGGCTGGGTGTGATGGCCTATGCCTGTAATCCCACCACTTTCAGAACCAAAGCAGTGGATAACCTGAAGGCAGGAGTTTGCGACTAGCCTGGCCAACATGGCAAAACCCTGTCTCTACTAGAATTACAAAAATCAGCTGAGCATGGTGGCACACACCTGTAGTCCCAGCTACTCAGGAGGGTGAGGCACAAGAATGGCTTGAACCCGGGAGGTGGAGGTTTTTGTTTATATAAAACATGAATAGATACTCTGCTATTTCATACTATGTGCAATGTTTTATATGTCTCTGGGATGCTCACCATTCACTGTGTAGATGAAAATACACCAGGAGCCACTAAAAAGACATGTCAAGTAAGCACTGGAGTTATAGGGGTAAATGAGTGGTTTAGGAGAAAACTTTATTTTTTTGAGACGGAGTCTCTGTTGCCCAGGCTGGAGTGCAGTGGTACAATCTTAGCTCACTGCAATCTCTGCCTCCCGGGTTCAAGCAATTTTCTGCCTCAGTCTCCCAAGTAGCTTGGCTGATTTTTGTATTTTTAGTAGAGATGGGGTTTCATCGTCTTGGCCAGGTTGGTCTTGAACTCCTGACCTCATGATTCACCCACCTCGGCCTCCAAAAGTGCAGGGATTACTGGCGTGAGCCACCACGCCTAGCCCTAGGAGAAAACTTTAAAGTAGAAGTGGCAAATGGCACACTAGAAAAATCAAACAAACATTTATATGAAAGCAAGCAGTGGGTGAAAGAAGTGTAACACGACTTTGTAATTAATTGGAAATTAGTTAATAACCACTGGGAGAAAGGGGGAGGGAAGCTCCCATAGTGTCTATATGGGTATAGTCATAGTGCCAATTATTTTCATTCCTTCACTTTTATTGATAGAACTGTATAAGGCTATTAAATTTCCTGTAATTATTGTATTATTTATAGTACATGAAACCCGAAAGGCAATATGTTTACTTGCAGAACATCTTGACTGGATATAAATTCTGGGTTCATTTTTTTATTTTTCTTTTGAGATGGAGTCTGGTTCTGTCTCCCATACTGGAGTGCAGTGGCATGATCTTGGCTCACTGCAACCTCTCCCTCTTGGGTTCAAACAATTCTACATCAGCCTCCCAAGTAGCTGGGATTACAGGCACCCACCACCACACCTGGCTATTTTTTTTTTTTTTCAGATGGAGTCTCGCTCTTGTTGCCCAGACCGGAGTGCAATGGCATGATATCAGCTCACTGCAACCTCTGCCTCCCGGGTTCAAGCGATTCTTTTGCGTCAGCCTCCTGAGTAGCTGGGATTACAAGCATGTGCCACCATGCCTGGTGAATTTTTGTATTTTTAGTAGAGATGGGGGTTTCTCCATGTTGGTCAGGTTGGTCTCAAACTCCTGACCTCAGGCGATCCACCCGCCTCAGCCTCTCAAAGTGTTAGGTTTATAGGCATGGACTACCACGCCCGGCCAATTTTTATATTTTTAGTAGAGATGGGGTTTAGCCATGTTGGCTAGGCTGGTCTGGAACTCCAGACCTCAGGTAATCTGCCCGTCTCGACCTCCCAAAGTGCTGGGATTACAGGCCTGAGCAACCACATCCAGTCGGTTCATATTTTTTTTTTTTTTTTTACAAACTAACACTGTGTGGCAACCAGGAAGTCTGTAAATGAAAATGCCCAGGATAAGTTGGGCAGGAGTTAATGTGTTGAATTTTGTTCATGCTGTGCTTAAAGTGACTGTGGAACATAAAGCTGCAATTGTCCATTTTGGCAGATATACATATGATTAAGTTTCCACAAATAGAATTTTCAAATATTATAAAAATGGAGTTCCAGAAGAGCTCAAAAAAAGAAGCTGTGGGAACAGCAATATTTGAGATAATGGCAGGAGACTAGGCCCAGACCATGGAGCCTGAGAGAACTTCTCTAAACATAAGAGTAAGCCAGGAGGAGTGTCTAGGAAACCAAAGAAAGGGAGATTCACAAATAAGGGACAGCTCTTGTTCAAAATCCAAATGTAGAGAGTCCAAATTAGCATAACCACACACCAGAACAGCAAAGGAGTGAAAGCTGTAATCAGTAAGCAGCCCTTTTGAGAAATTTGGAAATATCTAGAATTCCTAAGACCAGATAAGAGAATCCAGCTCTTGGATACACATCCTAACAAAGAGCTCATGTAAACTTCTATGCTCAGAGTCAAAGGGCTGTGGTTTGGCAAGGACTGAAGATGACTGATAGGAAGATTAATTAACGACTCCCCACTTCAACAACAACAACAACAAAACCAAAGAGCATCCAGCACAAACCAAAAGCTGATGAAAAGACCCCACCACATAATGGCACATAATGGTACCAGGGGCAACTAGGCAACATGATTACTTAACCAGGGTTCCTAAATGTTGGCACAATACAGACAAAAAGATAAACACAAAATTGTGCTATATACACAGACATTTTATTCTTTTGAAATACATCTGTGTTTTTTTAAAGCAACACTTCTATTTCTGTGAAAACATACAATGACTAGTTTCTTAGATGACAGCAATTCTGTTTCAGCAATTAAGACATTACCTAAGAGAATAAGGACAAAACTGACATATGACTTTTCATATGGAGAATCAAATGTTAAAAGACGAGGAAAAAAATGCCCAAAAACGATAAAGGTTTTGAGCCTAGAATTCCATGCCCTGCCAAATTTTTCATTCAAGGATAAGAAAAAAAGATGTTTTCATAAATACAAACATGTTAAAAACGTACAAATGATGCACCAATTTTGCAAGGCATTCTAGAATATACTTAATAAAAACTACAAAAAAAAAAAAAAATCACACGGCAAATTAGGTATAAAAGCTAACCAGGGCCAGGCACGGTGGCTCACACCTGTAATCCCAGTACTTTGGGTGGCCAAGGCGGGCAGATCACTTGAGGTTGGGAGTTCGAGACCAGTCTGACCAACATGGAGAAACCCTGTCTCTACTAAAAATACAAAATTAGCCAGGCATGGTGGCACATGCCTGTAATTCCAGCTACTCAGGAGGCTGAGGCAGGAGAATTGCTTGAACCTGGGAGGCGGAGGTTGTGGTTAGCTGAGATTGTACCATTGCACTCCAGCCTGGGCAACAAGAGTGAAACTCTGTCTCAAAAGAAAATAAAAAACTAACCAGATATACAATAATAATAACTTATTTCTCACATAGCGATAACAGGAAACTATAAAATGTAAAATAGAGTGATTACAGAAGTGAGAAGGAAAAGATTATTTTGTATACTAAACTATCTTTCAAAGATACTTACAAATATGTTAACAAAATGCTCACACCTTTTCATGAAATATTCACTGAAAGACCATTTTCTGGGCCAGAAAAATAAACTAACAGAATTGAAATCATACCAAACATATTCTCTGACCACAATAGACAAACTAGAAATCAATAACACAAAGTTTTCTGGAATATCATCAAATATTTGAAAATAATAGGTGAACATTTTATTGAATGTTATTGGAAAATAACATTTGAAGTTGGTTCCCTGAAAAAACTAAGAGAGCTGATAAACCTATATTCAGAATGACCAAAAAAAAAAAAAAAAATACATGTTAACAATATGAGAAATGAAAAGGGGGATAGTTACTATAGGCCCTAAAAACATTAAAAGGGTAATGGGAGAATACTACAAAATAGACTATATGCATAAATTTGACAACTTAGATGAAATGGATTAATTCCCTGAAAGAGGATAACTGCCAAGACTCAGGAAGAAATATCTAAGCTAAATAATCTTAGTGTCTATTATATTAAATAAACTGAATATGTAGTTAAAAACCTTTTAATATGAGTCACTTCACAAGAAATGGTGACTTAGGGAGCTCTAAGAATTGGTCCCTCCACGGAAGCAACCATTAAAGCTGACAAAAACTGATAGAATCAACTTTTTGGAACTCTAAAATTTATTTTTTTTAACCAGCAAACAATGGAATACTTTTTTTTTTCTAAGACGAAGTCTCCCTCTGTCACCCAGGCTGGAGTGCAATGGCAGTATCTCAGCCCTCTGCAACATTTGCCTCCTGGGTTCAAGCAGTTTTCCTGCCTCAGCCTCCCAAGTAGCTGGATTACAGGCACCTGCCAACACACCCAGCTAATTTTTGTATTTTTAGTAGAGATGGGGTTTCACCAAGATGGCCAGGCTGGTCTAGAACTCCTGACGTCAGGTGATCCCACCTGCCTCACCCTCCCCAAGTGCTGGGATTACAGGCGTGAACCACCTCATCCAGCCTCAATGGAGTACTTACTTTTTTATAAAGACGGGGTTTCACCATGTTGGTCAGGCTGGTCTTGAACTTCCGACCTCAGGTGATCCACCCACCTTGGCCTCCAAAGTGCTTGGATTACAGGTGTGAGCCACCACGCCTGGCCCAGTGGAGGACTTAATAAAGAAAGAGGCTGCTAAATTTTGGGGAGAAAGCGTGTGGCACTCTTGTCTTACTCATCTACTGATATAGTTTGGTTGTGTGTATCGTCTAAATTTCATGCTGAAATATAATCCCCAGTGTGGGATTTGGGGCCTGGTGGGAAGTATTTGGGTAATGGAGGTGTTTCTCTTATGGATGATTTAGCATCATCCCCTTGGTGATGAGTGAGTTCTCACTCGGTTTACATGAGATCTGGTTGTTTAAAAGAATCTGGCACCGGGCCCCCAGGCATGGTGGCTCACGCCTGTAGTCCCAGCACTTTGGGAGGCCAAGGCAGGTGGATCACAAGGTCAGGAGTTCAAGACCAGCCTAACCAACATGGTGAAACCTCATCTCTACTAAAAATACAAAAATTAGCTGGGTGTGGTGGCACATGCCTGTGATGCCAGCTACTCAGGAGGCTGAGGCAGGAGAATTGCTTGAACCCGGGAGGTGGAGGTTTCAGTGAGCCGAGATAGTGCCACTGCACTCCAGCCTGGGTGA